GAGGGGGAGGGGGGGGCACTGACTGGTTGCCACCCACATAACCCTAACCAGGGTGGGGACAAACTGCAACCAAGGCACGTGCTCTTAACAAAAACTGAACCTGGGACTCTGATCCACAGGCTGACATTCTGACCACTGAGCAAAACCGGCCAGGGCATAAAGATTTCATTTTTAAGTAATGCAGTCTACCTTGTTACAGGCAGCTGTTGGAGATTTAGAGCATTTAAAAAATTTTTTTTTCTACTGATTGACTATTAATGGCTGTCTTTATGGGCATTTTGTTATTAATAGAATTTTTCCTATTCAGAACATATGAAGGTTAGTTATTTTAATAAATTCAAGAATTCCAGGAGCCTAATGGAACTGAAATGGAAAATGGTCCAAAGAAGCAAGAATTATATAACTTCACATACAAAAAATAGTGTTAATCTTATGGATATACATATTTGTATATTGGGAGCCAATGAAATTCTGTTTTTTCCTACCACAAATAAAATATATCTATGTTTTTGGCCATATCCAAAGAAAAATTTTCCTGATTGTTTTGGATGGCATTTGTGGCAGGCACTGGGTATAAATGATATGATTAAAGGCATATTATATACCCATTGGCAAACTTTTCTGGAAATAGTCTTCTAGAGAGCACATCACAAAATTGTTCAATCACATTTCCCCCACTTCTGACAAAAGGTCAGGGAAAAATAAGAGCTGTGCTTGATTTAAATGTTAAATTGCTGTTACTGATCTGGCCTAGAGAGCCATCTGGTTTTTCTATCCTAGTAAGTACCGATAATTAGACAGGCGTGCAATTTACAAAAGAATAATTAATCAATTATTATGGAAGGAGCCTTGGAGAGAACTGGGTGAGATGATCAGTATTCAGTGAATAGTAACTGATTGATATGTTTCCTTGTCCAACAACAGTTGTTGGAGAATATCAAATGCTGTGCAAACATGCACACTTACACGTATATGTATGCTGACAGAGACAGAGAGAGATTGAAGGACCTGTTAAGACATATTCTGGGTTATTCTTGGAAGTATATCAGATAGATGGCCTGTTCTTCCTGCCTTCTAGAACTTTTTCTTTTTTTAATCTTCAACCAAGGATATGTTTAGAGAGAGGAAAGGAGAGAGAGAAACATTGATGTGAGAGAGAAACATTGATCAGTTGCCTCCCGTGCTTCCCTACCAGGGATGGAACCCACAATCTAGGTATGTGCCCTGACCTATCGAACCTGAAACCTTTTGGTGTGTGGGACACTCCAACCAACCAAGTGGCCAGGGCCCTTTTTCCTCTTTTTGATGTGGATTTAGGGGTGGGTATGGGAATATATCTATATTTCTAAACTCAGTGAGGCCTTAGAATAAAATTGGTGGGGAGTTATCTATAGTCCAAATTTCTACCTTTTTTTGGTTTGTTTAATCATTAAAGTGTAAATAAAGGTATTAGGGAAGAAGAAATAGTCGCTTTGCTTGAAGATGGCTATAATTCGTTTTCTCATTAAGCTTCTATTTAGTAAGCAGTTTTGCTATAATGGGCTACATTTGGATCGTTCTTTGAATCTTCAGGTTGTTAAAATTTTCTTGCGACTTGAGTGACTACATACATGGTCTGTATATTTAGAGGCATGGACTTCTCTGGGTATTCATCTAATAAACATCTTAAGGGCATGTGTGATTTGAGACTGTTAAGAGTTGAAGAAAGGAGCAGGAGTTCTTGGAGAGTGCTGGACATTATAGCAATTTACCAGAGAGTAGGGAGTATTACATGAGTGATTGTTTTGTATAATGGTTAATGGATTGACAGAGGATATGTGGGCATTGAGACAGTGACAGAGTGCTAATATGGCAGTGTTCTGTTTTTTTGGTGGTGGTTCCTTCTTGAAATTCATTGAGAGGAGCAGTTGTTGCTCTGCCTCTATGCTTGAAAAAGTGAATGTAGTAAAACTTCGATATATCAGACTAATTCAGGTGAGGGGATGTCCGTTAAAGCCGAGAGTCCATTATATAATAAAGTAGGTGTTCTGAATGCGTATGTTAAAAAATCAACATATTAAGTTAGTTTACCTATTTTTACTTATGTAGACACGTTTGTGTAATTAAAATTAAGTATGTATAAAAAACTTAATTTCATCTCTTCCCACCCTCCCACCCCCTTATATGCATATATTCATAACCAGTGGACTCAGACAACAATTCTGTGAAGGTGGGGCAGCGGGAAACAGGAGTAGGGAGGAGGATGTCAATGGAGGGGAAAAGGAGGGACATCTGTAACAAAAAAAAAATTTAATTTCACAGAAAAGTTTTCTGTATATATTACTGTAATTTCAATTTTATACTGACTAGGTCTACTAAATTTGTGCATTCATTAGTCACCTTGAGTAAAATGCCCATGGCTGGGGCGTGGCTTAGTGAATGTCCCAACATCTGCTGCAGAAAGTCACACCAAGCTGAGGAGAGGGGACAGGAACACGGAGGAGGTCAGTAGGAGAGAAAAAAAGAGGGACATCTATAATACCTTCAACAACAAAGGTAAATTTAAAAAAAGAAATAGGGATGCTTGATGATACATGGTTCTATTTAAAAAAAAAAAAGTCGTGCCATGCAACAACAAAACCAATTACGAGGTGTGACCACAGACTAATCATTCGCTGAACATTGTGAGCAGTAACTCTTGGATTTAAATATGTAGACTCTAGTTGTAGATATGTAATATTACATCAGTGAAGTTACTACAGTGCTTTTTCCAACTTAAGGCCTATTTGCTAAAATTTGTTTAAAATAACAGTGAATTAATAACAAAAAAAAATAACCCTTTAATTTAATTATAAACAATTCTTGATTAAAAGCATTTTAAAATTAACAAGGTGTGTAATTTTCACATGATATATGGATCAGAAATTTTGTTAAATCTGAAGTCTGTTAAATTGGGGTTTGCTGTATCTCCATACTGACAGTGCATTAGATAAAAGGATTAGATAAAATGCACTTGCCTCAGGTTAACTACTTAAAATTACTGTCATAACCAATGGACACGGACAATAGTGCAATGAAGCAGGTGACGGGGTTGGGGGAGAGGGGCATCTGTAATACTTTCCACAATAAAGATACATTTTTAATTAATTTATTTATTTATTTTAATCCTCACCCGAGGACATTTTTCCATTTTTTGTACAGATAGAGTGGGAGGGAGAGAGATAGAGAGTAATATCGACGTGAAAGGGGCACATTGAGTGGTTGCCACCCACACAACCCAACCAGGGCTGGGGACAAACTGCAACCGAGGTACGTGCCCTCAGCAGGAACTGAACCCAGGTCTCTCCGGACCACAGGCTGACGCTCTAACCACTGACAAAACCAGCCAGGGCATAAATTTATTTATTTATTTATTTATCCTCACCTGAGGACATTTTTCGACATTTTGTTCAGATACAGTGTGGGGGGGAGAGAGAGAGAGAGTAATATCGACGTGAAAGGGGCACATCGAGTGATTGCCACCCACACGACCCTACCAGGGCTGGGGACAAACTGCAACTGAAGTACATGCCCTTAGCAGGAACCGAACCCAGGTCTCTCCGGACCACAGGCCGACGCTCTAACTGCTGAGCCAAACTGACCAGGGCCATAAATTTATTTTTAAAAGCCCAGCTGGTGTGGCTCAGCGGATTAAGTGTCATCCCATGGACTGAGAGGTCCCAGTTCAATTCCTGTTCAGAGCACATGCCCAGGTTTTGGGCTCCATCCCCAGTAGGGGGTGTGCAAGAGGCAGCCAATCCATGTTTCTATCTCTCACTCCCATCCTTTCTCTCTTAAAAAAACAATCAATAAAAACATATTTTTTAAAAATGACTGGGAAGGGTCAGAGTGTGGCCAACCTTTAATCTTGTGGCCAGCTGGGAGGGATTATGGATGATGTGGATCAACACAACTCTTGTGCATTTTTGCATTGGTATCACCCATCTTAACCCACAAAGCCAAATTAAGTATGTCTTCCTCGCTCTGATATGAAATAGCCTACCCCCAACCCTAACCCAGAGCATGTTGGGAAATGGGGCTTCTATTGCCTTGATAATGGACTAAAAACATTCCTTGTCCTTCTTTGGAGGCCTGTCCTATTTGTCTCAGTCAGAATACAAGGTGAAAGACTCATAAAGTGAGGAGCTTTTTTTAATTTATTCATTTATTTTTATTTTTTTACGATATTTCTCCATAGAATTTCAAACAGAGTGGGAGGAAGGGAAAGAGGAGGGGCGGTGGGGAGAGAGAAACATCTATGTAATTGAGACACATCCATCTCCTTCATCTCCTTCATGACCCTGACCAGGGCGGAGGATCAAAGTTCATCGGAGGTATGTGCCCTTGACTGGAATCAAATCCTCAACTCTTTGTTCAGTGGGCAGACGCTCTAACTGCTGAGTCAAACTAGCCAAGGCTAAAGTGAGGTTTTTTTTTGTGTTTTTGTTCTTTTTTACTCTTAAATTTTTTTATTTTTAATTTAAATCATTTATAATTTTCTATGTCAGTTGACCTACTGTAGTATATTGGTTTCAGATGTACACCCCAGTGATTAAACATTATATAACTTTCTAAGTGATCATCCCCATAAATCTAGTACCCATCTGATACCATACATAGTTATTAGAATATTATTGACTATCTTCCCTATGCTGTACTTGACATCCCCATGACTGTTTTGTAACAACCAATTATTCTATAATAACTTCTTAATCCCTTCACCTTTTTCACCCATCCCCCCAACCCTTTCATCTGGCAATTATCGAAATAGTCTCTATATCAGCCCTGACTGGTTTGGTTCAGTGGTTAGAATGTCGACCTGTGGACCAAGGGGTCTTGGATTTGATTCCTGGTCAAGGGAATATAGTTGGGTTGCAGGTTCGTTCCCCGGCCCTGGTCAGGGTTGTGCGGGAGGAAACCAATCGATGTGTCTCTCCCACATCAATGTTTCTTTCTCTCTCCCTCCCTTCCATTCAATCTAGAAATCAATGGAAAAATATCCCCAGGTAAGGACTAAAAATAAAAAATATTCTCTGTATCTATGAGTCTATTTCTGTTCTGCTTCTTTGTTTTTTAAGATTTATTTGTCGATAGATATGTATTTATTGACATTTTATTGTTCATATTTTTCTTCCCTTGTTAAAGAAGACCCTTTAACATTTCCTGTGAAACTGATTTTTGGTGGTGATGAACTCCTTTAGCTTTTCCTTGTCTGGGAAGCTCTTTGTATGTCCTGTAATTCTAAATGATAGCTTTGGCAGATAGAGGAATCTTGGTTGTAGGTCCTTTCTTTTCATTGCTTGAATATTTCTTTCCAATCCCTTCTGGCCTGCCAAGTTTCTTTTGAGAAATCAGCTGACCGTCATGAGGGAACTTCCTTTTAGGTAACTAACTGGTTTTCTCTTGCTGCTTTTAAGAGTCTCTCTTTGTCTTTAACCTTTGGCATTTTAATTAGGATGTGTCTTGGTGTGGTCCACTTCGGATTCATCTTGTTTGGGACTCTCTCTGATTCCTGGACTTGTATGCCTGCTTCCTTCAGCAAGTTAGGGGAGTTCTCTGTCATTTTTTCAAATAGGTTTTCAATTTTTTGCTCTCTTCTTCTGGCACCCCCATGATGTGAATGTTCATATACTTGAAGTTGTCCCAGAGGTTCCTTACACTATCCTTTTTTTGGGGGGGTGCTTTTTGCTGTTCTGATTTGAATGTTTTTTCTTCCTTAGATTCCAAATTGCTGATTTGATTCTCATCTTCAACTACTCCACTGTTTATTCCCTGTAAATTACTCTTTATTTCAATTAATGTATCCTTCATTTCTGACTGTTTCTTTTTTATACTGTTAAGTTCTCACTAAGTTAGTTGAGCATCCTTATAACCAGTGTTTTGAACTCTACATCTTATAGCTTGCTTGTCTCCATTTTGTTTAGCTCTTTTTTTGAGTTTTGTTTTGTTCTTTAATTTGGGATGTATTTCTTTGTCTTTCCATTTTGGCAGCCTCCCTGTATTTGTTTCTGCGTATTCGGTAGAGCTGCTATGTCTCCTGGGGTCGGTAGAGTGGCCTATTGTAGTAGGTGTCCTGTAGGATCCAGTGGCACAGCTTACCTGATCACCCAACCTGGGCACTCTAGTTGCATACCTTACCCCTACCCTTCTTTTGGGCTGTGCATACCTTCCTGTTGTAGTTGAGCCTTGATTGCCATTGGTATATCCATGGGAGGGATTTACCCTCAGGCTAATCTGCTGCAAGGACTGGCTGCTACTGCCAACCACCGACCACTGTGGAGGATCAGCTGTGCAGTGCTAGAGCCCACCCTGCAGAGCAGGGCTTACTTCAGAAGGCCTCTGCTGCCCAGTGAGCCTGCCTCTTGAGTATGTCACTGTGCAGGTGGTTGGGTGGTATTTCTACATGGACTGAAGCTGTCCACTTGTTGCACTGACTCTGGGGCCACCTGGGAGGTGCAGGCCTGCATTTAGAAGTCAGGCCAAAACTCAGGCTGCTGAACCCACGCAGACATTAAAGACAAACTTCCCACGCTCAAGTTCTGGTCTAGGACTGGCTCTATTACCCCCATAGTTGAGGTGGGACTGGAACCCCAACCTGCTACAAAATAGCTATGGCTGTGGCTATGCCTGCCCAACTCCACAGGACAAAAGCTAAAGTGAGTTTTTAATTTGTCATTTACTCTTTACTGTTTAGAATGATATCAAAGAAAAGACCTAAGAGAAAGTAATGAATTCTTTAGATTCATGTCCCCACTAGACCACAAACTTAATGCCATCTTATTTAGTTTTTGCTTTTCTGAAACTAAACAGTAATGTTTTTTTGGTGGTGGTGTTTTAAATGTGAATGTTGGTTGTGAAATCCTACATCACAAAATGGAATAAAAATGTTAAACCTAGGAATTTTTGGCAACCGTTTCTATAGCTTACCTACTTATAAAGGTCTGTCAGCTGCTGAACCTTTCTATTTAAGCCAAAAGCCCTTTACTCCAGGTCAGTTTCAGATTCAACACCAGCTTGCCTGAGTACCAATGCACAGGTACTGTCTAAAATTAGATGTCAAGCCCTGGCCAGTTTGGCTCAGCCGATTAGAGCATCAGCCTGTGACCAGAGTGTCCTGGGTTTGGTTTTTGCTAAGGACATTTACCTTGGTTGCAGTTTGTCCCTGGCCCCTGTTGGGGTTGTGTGGGTGGCAACCAGTCGATGTGTCTTTCTCACATCGATGTTTCTCTCTCTCTCTCTCTTCCCCCCTCTCTCCCTCCCGCTCTATCTGAAAAAAAAAATAAAATAAAATAAAATTAGATGTCAAGATACAAGAGAAAGAAAGAAACCTATACCTCCAGTTCAAGCATTTGAGGTGAAGTTCAATTTTCTTGTTAATTCAAATAATCATTGTGTTTCATGAATTTGGATATACTTAGGTGGTTTGAGTTTCCCTTGGTAGTGATTGGTATTGGTACTGTTTGGTCTTTGTTTTCTTGCTCCTAACAGCAAATATTTAAATATTTGTGAGACGGCTGATTAAGATTTGCAATGTTGTTTGTCCTCTTGAGCACTAACCATTAGAGAATCACAGTTGGGGGCTCCAACTCAAGTCTTCAAGGAGATGACCCTTCCAGCACAGCTTAGAAGAGAGGAATTTTTCCAGCTGCTCTGATGATGTTAAATGTATCTCTGCACTTAGTCCACTTGAAATCATCTTTATTTCCACAAAGCTTTAAAAAAGAAAGAAGGAAGTGAGGGAGGACAAAAGAGCTCTTTTGGCTACCTTATGTTTTAAAATAGCCCAGAACTCTGTTCACTCCCTGGAATACTCATTTCCCAAATATCCACATAACTTGCTCCCTCATTTCCTTCAGGGATCTGCTCAAAATGCCATTTTATCAGAGAGAATTCTGTGACTGCCCTATATAAGAGGGAAACTAACCACCCCAGCTCTCCCTATATGCCCTAACCTGCTGTTTAATTTTTCTCTATACTACTTACCACCACTGGACACATTACATATACATATTCTTTTTCATTTTTTCTCTATCTACACCATTCACATTATATATGTATATAATTCTTTCCCTCTTCCCAACCAATAAAATGTAAGTTAAACTTCATGAAGGTAGGGAGAGGGTCTTTTTTGATCGATTCTGTATTTCTTTTCCTGGAGCAGTGCCCAACATATAGTTGACATTTGATAAATATTTGTTTAATGAATAAAGGGACAGACTCATTTTTATTTCAGTCTTCCACAGTCAGCAGTATCCTAGACAGCCAAATTTGAATGCCGGAAGGGGCCCAGCAGACATCCATGAAATGTCATAAATTAATTCCTCAGGGAAGTTTTGTGATTCCAGTATGTATGAACACTTAAATGGTCTGACTGGACAGCATTGGGTCAAGACCCCCTCCTTGGCAATCATCCCAAGCTATTCCTTGTGATGGTTCCAAGAGGAAGAGAGAGGGTGAGGAGTTGCCCTTATTTATTCCTGAGAGGAAGCCTGGACATTGTGTGCATTTTCTACGTATTTTAGGAGCTGTCATATTAACTCCAAGAGACCTTAACTCTGTGGGAGTTTTCTTCCTTCTAAGGCAGTCATCTGAGTCAGCGTTCAGTCTGGAAGCGTCCCCTTTTACCTTTACATGGCTTTCCTTGGTGAATAGCTGAATAGGAAAGCACTAATCTTTCACAGTGAAATAGTAAAACCTCTGGTAAGCCCACCCATGGCTCACTCTTGTTTAATATTTATTTTTGTTTGTTTAATTTGTGTGGGCAGGGTAGCAGGAATTTTATATGAAGTTTTATAGCCTCTTTTACACATAGAGCATGAAATGACAATATGTTGAATAATAAATGATGTTGAAAATAAAAAATATATATCTCATGGCCCTGGATGGTTTGGCTCAGTGCCAGGTTCACTTCCTGGTCAAGGTCATGTACCTGGATTTCTGGTTTGATCCCCTGTGAGAAGCATGCAGGAAGCAGCTAATTGATGTTTCTCTTTCTTCCTTCCGTTCTCTCTTAAAAAAAAAAAAAAAATCAAACATATATTTTTTAAAAGTAGGTTTACATTTGTGAGTTTACAAAACACATTTTATTCTTGTTATTGTTTATTATTATATTATTTTCCATGTGAACAACTGTAAACCAACTTTTGCTCCACCCTGTATATAAATTATTAGTGTACAGATTTGTTTTGTTTTGTTTTAATCCTTACCTGAGAACATTTTTGCATTTATCTTTAGATAGAGCAGGAGGGAGAGAGGGAGGAAGAAAGAGAGAGAGAAACATCGATGTGAGAGAGACATGTCAACTGGCTGCTGCCACCCACACGACCCCAACCAGCACCGGAGGCAAACTGCAACCCAGGTACATGCCCTTAGTGGGAACTAACCTGGATCTCTCTGGTCTGCGGGCCGATGCTCTAACCACTGGGCCAAACCGGCCAGGGCTAGTGGACAGTGTTTTTGTGTTCTGTTCTCCCCCCCCCCACCCCCCACCCTGCCCATGAGTCTTAATTTGGGTTCGTGTTTCAGGTGCAAGTAGTTTATTTGGAAATGCAGAAAATAATAGAGGAATTGAGAAGTGAGAGGGAAAGGAAGGGTGAGTTAGTGAGCCAACTACAACTGTGGGCAATTGGAGTTTGATCTTGAGGGGAAAGGGTATAGAAAATACATTTCATAGTTATTCCACCTGAGGATAAGGCACTGGGCTATTGGTTGGATATTCAGTCATTGATTGAGCCTGCTCCAAAGGAACGTTCATTCCCTAGAGCAGTCTGCAGCCTCCTAGGCTTTGGAGAAACCTTGGGAAAAAGGACCTAGATACTGGCAGTTGGAGATCCAGTGGAGTATACAGAGCAGTAAGGCCTGAGAGATATGAGCAGGCAACGAGGCGTGAGCTATGCCATACTCTCCGTTCCTGTTAAAACAGTAGTCTACCTAAGCACCATGGCTTCATCTCTGTTCCTTCTTTTCCCTCTTTTCACCACATCTTTACCTGAGGCTGGCTCAATGC